GTAGATAAAAATGGTTAATTCTAAGGTTGTGACAAAAACACAATTATTCTTATTTTTAGCTGATTATAAACTAATGAAAACATACCTAAGGATATTATATTTAATTTCTGCCAATACATCCTCACAAATGTTAAACACTGGACCTTTAATCACCAACCATCCACTTCATGATGCTGCTAGAGCAACATCAGGGGGTCACTTAAGTTTACACCACCAGCACGGCAAAAGACAAAACAAAACAACTAATTCTAATTATATTCTAATTCAAACCAACTTGTTTGATTTTCTTCACGCAGGCATAATTTCATATCCTTTCTTGATATTACCAGAATACTTCAGTACTTCAATGCGTTGACACAATGTCTTTCTAGAAATTTCCTGATTAAGTAAATTTATGTAGTGTAATGTTTTAATGCCCATATGCTGGAACAATAGAATAGTATCATCTGCGTAAAGTGTAGTCTAAAAATGCCTCTATATGATAAAATGGTGGTAGTTTCTGGAATTGCATTAATCCAATGCTAAAGAGGAGGTGGTCTGTTGTTATTTCTGTTGTTCCGTCCCAACATATGCAGCAAAACAAGCCATCAGCCATTTCTCCAACTGTCTTTGACCTCTGAGTAATGGAAAGAGAGTAGAGAGCAGGCAGCAAGGCTGAGAGTGACACTAAGCGATGGGGACAATATTTGAGAGCGTGCAAATGTCTCCATGGATCTTCTGGAGGTGTCACACTGTTGGACACATTTTTGGACACAGGCCTGACCATGAGGGCTCACCCCGTGGGAGATGAGTGTCACGAAAGACGAAGGAGAGGAAGGGGGAAGAGGGAAAGACTTTCCAGGCACGTTCACATCAAGCATGGCTGTGTCAATTGAACTCTAGAGCCTATACGCAATTAATTAGCTTTTCTTCGCACTAAGATTCCTGAAAATGTGTGCACAAAGAAGGAATGAGATGAGCTGAACACCAGAGACACAGGACAAAGTCTGGCAGAAAAAGGTGACTAAGTCAACTTTTCCTCTATGATTCAGACCAAAGACCAAACTGATGGCATGTGAAAAGCCCTAAACTCATTAGTCCCGAATCACTCACAGTACACGCCTGGAGATAGATTCAGCACATCATAAATCCTGTTCAGGACATCTTCTTCCATGCGGCCAGCTCCTCTCTTTATCAGAGAGCTGCTGGCTGGTAGCTGCAGCTCGATAATGGCCTGCACTGTTTACTGATCCTCGCAGGAAACTGACGCTCACATAAAAGTGGCCTCAGTATTCGTGAGTAAAGTCCATAGCTTATGTTTGAGCGTATGCAATGAGGGCCTGGGTGGTATTTGGCTATCATGAGAAGGAATGTAAATCGTCAACTGTTAGTTATGTCTACTTAGAATATTTGTTTGAAACAATGTCCTCGGATCTATAAAGGTTTTGTGAGATTGGACTTTGAAACTTTGTTCTACGTTCTGTCTATTTTGAGATAGAGGTTTTGTATCATGGACATATTCAAATACTTTGAATTCCTTGCCAACACTGTACTTACTGTGTAACCCACCCTGCTTTATGCAACATGTAAAAACTGGCCATCATATTCATAACTGTAACTTTTATCTGCTGATGTGAAATGATTGCATTCAGGGTTGTAGAGGTAAGCTGTTTTCCCTCATTTATTGGGGTTTACTCCTTACTATACCCCTGATTGCATTGAAAAACCTTAGGCTATGGGCGACCATTTCTTGCTAAAAATGTACACTACTTGCAAAAGAGAAAGGAGCACAACATTTTTTACCAGATTCTTCTGACCTGGCTAACAATCTTTTAAAATGTCTTCTTCTTCTTGGACACCTTGATCATGTTATGTCTTTGGGTTTCTTGTTTTATCTGAGCTCACCAGAACAAATTCCTGTCAGCTATGATGAAATGGCAATACAGTGTTTTTGTTTTTGAATCTTAAAGAGAATCCACTCAGCAGAATGTAACGCTAAATATCCCTTCTTTTAACCCCTGTAGATAACAGGACAGTACATGCAGACGTGTTGAAGTCAAAGATCACAAAACAACACTGGGTCGGCTTACGAACAATTCTGTAAAAGTTGCAGTTGTGTTAGTTTGGAGCAGAGGTTGTGGACTCACCGCTGATGGTGGGAGCCTTCCTGCTGCGCCGAGCCTGACGTCCCCTCGCTTTGTCCAACTGCCTCACTTTTTCTAATGTTGGTTCCAGCCCAGCCTCCATCCTCACACACACAAATACACGCACAACCACATGCACAGAGTAAACACAACATTTCAAATGAGACAGTCGCTCTTGATGTGTGTTTGAGCTGCAGGAACCTGACCAAAGATCTTCTTTTCCTGTAAATGTTCTCTCGCAGGACAGAGCGAGAAGATATCATTCAGAGATTTTGTGGGGAATAATTGGGAAATGTGAAACTGGGGAGCCATCGCATTTGAAGGTAATGAATTATTGATAATAATAACCAATTTTGCATACAATTGCCCAGCACAGGCCTTTTTGGTTGAACTGGGGATTTGAACTGGCAACCTCAGTCACAAAGGACCCCCTCCATGCCGTACTTGTAGGAACTGGAATCATCTCATTAAGAAATTCCCAGTATAGAGTGTTTATAAACAGCTTCTTGTTCATCCCTCATGATGGATGGATGCTCCCTATCACCGGCTCTTCCAGCTAACTCCCCAATCCGCTTAACAATTTCTCTGCCACTGTTTCACAACCACCCCCCCCACCCCCAACACTTACTGAACCCTCAGCATTTTCTGTACTGACCTCGCTCCCTCTGTGGGTGGGCCCTTACTGTTTTGAGTGTGTGTGTGATTGCATTGTGTTTAATAGTGAGGGGAAAGTGTGTGTGCGTGGGTGCTATGAGGGAGGAGGGTGCAACTGAGAGGCCAGTGCGAATCTGCTAATGAAGAAAAACAACACGGCTGTCAAGGCCTCCCAGGAGCAGGTCAAACACAGTTGCAGGGGGTTAAGGTCAGCGAGGGCAAAAGGTCAAAGGTCAACATCAAGGCCAAGAGCAGGCCTTGACCTCTGCTGGGCTGAAAAAAGTGGGAGTTGAAGAGAGTAAACTGTATGGGAGGTGGAGCTCCCAGAGATTTTCTTCTAAAATAAGGGTGTAGCAGCATTAAAAAGGGGCCTGGGACAATCCTAAATGACGCAATGACACTTTACCAGAAGCAAAGGAACACAGGAAATGTGTTATTCATTTGTTTAATCTTTATAGCACCCACCGTATTTAACATTTCTCAAAGTACAAAACTATTTTTTGTTGTGCAAAACAGTGAGAATGGAAAAATGAAAATGTGTAAATTAAACGTGGTAGTGAAAATCTGTGTGTCAAGTCAAGTGTCTGTATTTGGTAATAAAAACAAAACCATATGACTACAATTGAAAAAAGATATCTAAGATTCACAAAAAAAAAAACATACATGCTCAAAAAAGTTTTCGGGATTACAGTACTTTTCTGTAAACAATTAAAAATTGACTAATTACAATTTACACTTGTTATACAAAACATTTCTTCTTTTCCAATCACGTCACTGAAGCCCAAAAAACTAATGACTCAAGGAGCAAATTGTGAAACACTGTAAACAAGATCAGACGGGGTTTCATGCAGTGGATAGTGTCAGAACTGTCAAAGTGTTTGGCAACTAAAAAACAACGGGAATCATTTTAGAGAAACCTCTGTGTGGTCTGGTCACCGCCCGCCAGCAGGTTGCTGACATCTATGTAAGGTCTGACATCACATTGAGCTTGTGTCCTAAACACCTAGACAGGAGGAGTATCCGTCCGTGTCCGACACCTGAAATCCTCCGTTTAGAACTCAAACATTAAGAGCAGTGTGAATCACATCGCTGCAGCTGAACCCGAGTGAACGTAATCCGTCACAGTACTATTGCAGATAAAAAAAAAAAAACATTACAAAAAGCACAATAAATAAAACTATAAATGTAATTTTAAATGTACAATTTCTCCATCTTGATTTTGTTGGCAAATGTGATTTTTCTGAGGGTTCACTGGAAGAGAGTGTCAGCTCCTGTCCCACTAGTACACTCGTACTGGTTTGGTGGTTTAGCTCCTGATCAGAGGCGTTGTCTCTTCGCGGCTTCCGTCCACCTCCGCCGGAGCTTTGCGGTAAATTAAGAACTGGAGGGAGATCTGAACCACAGCGTTAAGGAAATCAAAAAAAACAATAATAACGGTAAATGTTTATGAATGTTACTGTCAGAGGATTTCGCCTAGAAAAACACACAACCATGAAAATTTTATGAAACATTTGCAGACTTCCTAATTTATGGTGGGTGAAAAGTGTATTTTACTGAATAGCAAATAAAGAGTCCTTTATGTCTGCTGAACAAGGTTGGATTACCAACTGAGCTAAGTGGGCCCTGAGGCCTCAGATTCCCTGGACTCCCCAAAGTCTCAGATTCACAGTGACAATTCACAATTGAATTTTACTAATCTATTTTACTGCACTATAGTACAATAGCAACTAAGGCCTCTCTTACATTATTGAATAATCTTAGCCCTGTCTTGGTGATGGGGTCCTGTATCAAAATCTAGTTTGAACAGTTTTATATTAGTTTGTGTTGTGATCACATGGTGCATATTATTCCTAAAAAAAGGTTGCATTTAGTCAAATTACCTAAATTAAAACAACCTGGGCCCTGGTAGTATTATTCTAGTACAGCATTGCCATTTCCCTTTCTTGCTGAAAATCTACAACTACCACTCTCATGTCTGTCCATTAGATACAAAGCTACAGCCAGGAGACATTCACTTTTTGGCCAGGCACTATGACTTCTGTGCTGGTTGCCACAGTTAGCTTAGCTTAGTTCATGCTAACTAACTATCTCCTGGCTGTAGCTTCAGTAAACATACTGAACAGATTTGTATTGATCCTCTCGTATAACTCTTGGGAAGAAAGCAAATAATCGTATTCCCCTAAATGAACAATTCAAGGAAATTCAAACAAGGAGAACCAGGAGGCACAGAAACACAGGTAGGAACTAGTGGTAGCAGGTGGGGGGGCCGATAGCACAACAGGTTGATCTAACCATAGTGCTGTGCCATGTGCTAGGGCTGTTTGATATTCAGATTTGAATAACCTGCAGATGACTGTGACAGCAGAGATTGGTTATGAGCTGAAAATGTGCGATAGGAATATTTTAAAGAAATGTACTAATTATTTCATATGTTCACTAAAAGCCTTTTGAAAGCAGGTCCTTAAAAAACTGCCCAGTCATCATCAGGTCACATGCTTCTGCCTTATCTGTATGTTCTCTGAAAACAAAGCAACAAGCAACTTGATACTTCAGTCCACCACTGAGACGCGTGGCCTGCAGCCGTTGCTAGTGCAGCTTATACGCTCCTGTTTCTTAGCTGGAGAGAAGCCAATTTAGACCTTTGATACCACATATTGTGTTTCCACACACGCAGTCATAAGACCTAAACCCATCTTATGAGGCATCCTCTTTACAAGCTCAGCACTGCCTAAAATGTAGCATGTACGTGGGATAAAGGAGAACCCAGAGGCCCCGGCCGCAGCGGCCATGTTTTCTTTTCTTGAAAGGATACAATGAGGTCTAAGAAGAGGGTGCCGAGGCTGCCGATGAGCCAGGGCAAGTGATGGATCAGGTAGCTTTTCTCGCCCTGGCCCCTGTCAGGGTTCTTCAGTAGGACACTCAGTCCGTATGTGGTGTTTCCCAGGATGACCAGTGCGAACAGGAAGTAAGACACCCCCTCTGTCGACTTCCTCTTGAACTGTGGAGAGAAACGAGGGGAAGTGAGAAGAATGAAAACCTTTTTTTTTTTTTTTTAAAAAAGGACCACAAGATGTGCAGTAAGCTGTGCAGTAAGCTGTGCAGTGATGTGACTGCAGACGCAGTCGGCCATGCTGTCACTGCATTATATTCACTTGCATTTTCACCTGCTCAGTTTTCAATTACATTACTCTTTCACTTTGACAAACATTTTTCAACATTATTATTAGTTCACACGCGGCATCTGATTTATCGTCAACCATACCTTTCATTTTAAGTATGTACATTTTGTACTTGTTACACATTTTGCATGTTACTCATTGGTAGGACTGTGTATTAGTCAGAATCTTCCGATATAAAATGTATCATCATACAAATGATATTTGGTTTTGTGGTATTTTTATTTTATTTGTAATTCTCAAAAACACTCTAGGCAGTGTTGTAAACGGGAACTGAGGGCTATATTGTTGGATGTTATAATTGTGGTTGCATGAAAAAGAAAACGTTGTACTACTCGTTGTACTACTACGTTGTATTTTATGCATATGAAGGTGTGTTCTTTATACTATTAGATTTTTCAAAAAATTTTTGCAATATATCATGTATTGTTTGATATTTTGTCTCCTCATTTGGTCTCTTAGGTCTCTTTAGGACTCTGTTTTCCATTACAATATAAGTATCTGAATTTTATTGTTTAGAATTTGTTGTTTTGGGTGAAGTTTCACAGACATTAGTGTAATGATATGTCAAGTGCAATATATCACCTACTGTGCTGCAGCCAATAGTACTAAAGATTTCTGCGCATTTGTAGCAGAAGACACGCTGTCATACTTACATTAGTGTACATCTGGGGGAGTCTGGAACAGAGGTAGAGCACTGACGACACTGAGCCGATAGAGAAACCAATAATCTCTTTCGGAGTAAAAACCTGAAGCGACAGAGGGGCAGACACAACGTTACACCAGGAAAAAAAGCCAGACATGACTAGTTCACTTCCTTCAGGTCACTAATTAAACAAATGAATAGGACTCACCTTGATAGAGCCAACGTCAGAAGTTGAGAGCAAAGTGCGACTTTTGAACCCAGGAGAAATAATGTCCTCGTGGGTGCCTAGCCCGGGGAGGTGGGCGAGGTGCGTGGTTAAGCCCAGGACGCAGGCTACACCCACCAAACGCAAAACCATCCTGCCTGCAGAAGAGACACACACCCAGGTTCATCATCAGTCCTGGGAGAGACATCTCAGCACATTCCTCCAGACAAGGGTTACCGTGTCAAAGGTCAACCGTAAGCGGACAAACACCACAGCACTATATGAGGCATGTGACGACATTATTTGAGAATACAGGGATTACCCTCTTCCTCTGTCTGCACAAGTGTTGGATCCCTGTTCACCAGCACTTGATACTTGATAAATACGCAGTGCCGAATCAATTAAAACTATAGCTACGGTTTTACAGTTGGAGATAAAATACATGTTTGAGATGATTCATTCCAACTACACATGTTAAAGGCCTATGTCTTGGTTACTCAGTGTGGCACTAAGATGCAAGTAAGGCACTGAAACTCACTATAGCACATAACAAGAACTTCTTATATTTGACACTGAAAACAATGAGCATTAAAACAAACAACAACAACAAAAAAAACGCTTACTTTCAGCCATTCTGTTCCTTATCTTGTAGTAAAAGTACATGGCCAGCATCAACAAGTCAGCTATGACGTAATAAATGGCTGTATATGTCTGGATGACAGAGAAAGACACATGCAACAAGTTATGAAAAATTTGACAAACAAAGTAATTCACAGGAATTCACTTTAAAAAGCTATTTGTATCATTATTTGATATGATTAGTCAAGTAATGAATTAGTCAATCATTTAATCATCTAAGTCACTGACACAAACAATAACGAGCTGATAACAAAACAAACAATTTGTTTGATTTTTGTCATTACATTGGTCCATACTTTACTCTTTGAACTACCAAAACATCTTAAGACATCACTTATGGTTTTCGCAACTTCTAATAAGCATTTCCCAATGTGTTTGACATCTTACGAACTAAAGAACTGATCAAAAACAGTGATCTATAGCTTGACTCTAGTTAGTCAGAGCCCGACTCTGTCATGGGAAACACCTCTACACTGAGGCAATCACTACATCATTACAATTCACCTGAAGTGGAAGTTGGTCTGCCAGGAAGGATCCCACAAGATTGCAGGTGTCACCTCCCAGCCACAGCAGCAGGAACCAAATGGAGAGGGCGCTGTCCATATTTCCCGTTTTGCATGAGCTGCAGTATTGTCTGCAATCAGATAAAAAGACCAGACAGAATTACACATGCCGTATTTAGACATAAGAGCATTTTCTCTGAAAGGCATCAACACAAACACTTACGGAATTGAAGACACCATGAAGCAGAGAATGGATAGGAGGCCTAGGTAGACGCTGGCCATATCCCTGGCATCCTGGGCACATTCCCCAAGTCCTTCCCAAACCCAATCGGACCCATTGGGGCACAGCGACGTGAAGTTTCCTTGAGTGGTGGACCCAAACGCACCACGAGTGAGGACTCCATCCATCATCATATTCTGATGGAGAGAAATGCCTCTGTAAATACAGTTTATTGAAACACAACATCCTACATTTTCAGTTCTCATTTCAAACCAGCCTACAAACAATGTTTACATGTGCGGTCTCCCTGGAAACAGGAGAGAAAACAAAGTGAAAGTGGCAGAAATATCTCAACCATATGGCCCAGATGTGGTATTTCCAGGACTTCATCACACACTCAAATCAACCATATTAATCTAAAAAAAAAAACATCACATATGGAGCACAAATCCACATATGCATAATGCAGTTTCCCAGTGAACGGGGTCAAAGGTTGTTGAACCCTTAAAAACAACATCAAAACAGCCTGTTTAGAGCCACGTTCTGCTGTTGATGCGCCATTACATCAATGCAATGGCGGTTAAACAAAGTGGCAGTATGTGTAGCTTCACTGACATATTATCTACTGCTAGAAAACATCCCCCGTTCACCCACAATGCACTCAACACAAACCACACACTGAAGAGACTCAAGTATGTCTCAGCCACTCAGCTCGCTCGCTAGCAGCCACAACAACTGCCTACTCACAGACAGCTGGGTCTGTGGCGTTTATGTCGAAAACTTCTACAAGCTATCACACTGGAAATGAATAGAAAGCCGATGTATCTTGCCTGAGTGGCCGCTGACATGTCGGTAGAGTCCTCAGCAGAACAAAAAGCTCCCCGAGACTGGACGAGCAACACGGAAGCACGCAATAAACAAGCTTGTTCTGTGTCCGTGAGCTGATTGGTCGTTGGGCTGAACGTCACTGCGGGAAAATTAGCACGTGACTAGCGATTGGCGAAAACAAACCAGTCGAGCCTTCAAAATAAAAGTTTCACTTGGCTCGGGCTCCAGGGATGTACATTTCACTCATTTAATGAGAAGTGTTGCCCTCGCCGTGTGCTAGTAATGTGTGGCAGACATCCTTCCAACTTATCTGTCATACATTTTAATACAGTGTGAATTCAAAAAGCATTAAAGGCTAGAAAAACACCCTTTCTCTTTTGCATCTGATGTAGCCTATGATAATCAGAAAGTTATATTTATATAACAAGACGTCTGTAATTTATCATGGATCTTAACTTTTAATTATATTACTTTCCCTGGAGGATTTCAAAAGTTGAGCGAGAAATCATTCTGCTTCACACAGCTCAGGGCCAACACCAGAGTCTGTGGTCAAGATTGATTAAGGCTGCGGAACAAGCTAATGGTATGATTACATGTTAATGTTACTTTTCTGTGGAACTGGGTGAACTTAACGGTTCCAATCTGCTGTCCAAGAGCATTTCACATACTCTCAACACATATCTCCAAGCCTTGTTAAAACTGCATTATTTCTCTGCACATGGCGATTCAGCCATCAGTCCTGAGCCGTCATTACTCCTAAGGCCTCCAGCATTCATCAACCAGCTTTGCATTTTAGTATGCAGCCGTGAGAAACAATACACCTATAACAGCCAGGCCCATAAGGGACAATCCTATATAAAGCGTGCCTGTATGCAAATGTGCCCACTCAGTGAACTTCAGAGAGGTCGTTAGGCTGTCTGCAGAGGTCACCTAACAGGGACAGTTCTCTTTTGTTATATGATGAGATGAGGAGATGGCTCATTATCGTTATCACAATAACCACAACCACAATTACCTTCCATCATAATAACGACAGGTCATGTTTTCTTCCTGTTTTTCCTAAAGACAGTTATGAAGAGAAAACATCTTACCTGGGAAAGGGCGATTCAATCCGTCTCCAGACTGAATGAAAAGGAAAAGAGAGGACTCTTAAGAGCGAAACTTCCGAAATGTCTCAGATGACGCCACAATGTGTCAGCTGACGTTGGCTCGGACTGACGACTCAGCGCCACAGACAGCTGATGTCAGCTCGTGCAGTTTGTTCACGTTTGCACTGTCTTCACGTGCTTCTCCTAAACTGGTTCCGACGTCCGTGACTCACTGGGTCAAAGTGCTGTCACCACTTAAAGGGTTAGGGGCCACATAAGGCTGACATCGGCAGTGCAGAAGTTGATGGGGCAATACTCTAATAGGGTTATTATACAGTGACAGTTCAGATATGAGCTTCCTGTTTCACACACACACTGTGCACTGTCTCTGCACACTGGCTTCTATTATCTGTAGACCTACAGGTGTTAGTCAGACCTTTGTCAGGTTTACAGTTTATACAGTGCTGTCTGCTGGAGTGGTCATGGTACACCAGTGGGTCTTAATGATGAGCAGTTTCAGGGTCTCGGTGTTGTTCATGCTGGCTCACTCTCACAATGTCATTGCTTTCTGGTACAGTTGAATACAGCAGATCCATCACAGCCAGTGGCGCCCCTAGAAACTTTACATATTAGGGGGGTCCAGATGGGGCCGCTGAAAATGTTGAGGTGGCCAAACCAATAGTGACCAAATCCAGTGGTCAAAAGAGGTATAAACACATGAACTATGACCTAAAAGATACATTTTTGAACTTAATGAATAATAACTAATGTAAAATATCAGACAGAAGCATATTATACATAGCGACCCACGTGGGGGCAGTGATTGTACCCCCCTTCCCAGCAGAGTCACTGATCTTATCCGAGTTAAAATGTATGCCTCTGACTGAACCTTACTCTTTATTTAATGCATTATGTAAAGCACTTTTACTTTTAGCACAATTCTCTTGGTGTATGAACTGCGCTATTGAATAACAGCATCAATTCAAACATTTTTTGAATTTCTCCTAAGGGGGATCAATAAAGGAACATCATATCTTAGCAACACCTGTACTTTTCCTCCTGTGCAGTTGACAGTTAGGTCTGTGGATTAGCTGAAGTACAAGGGACACTATTTCTGGAAAGAGATGTAGATGTAAGCATTAAATTCCATTCTCCTCTTTTGTAATGCAGTGGATGCATATGCAAATTAAACAATAATTTCAACCATTAACATCACAACAAAAGTCCAACAGCTGCTCCATCCCCTCCGGACACTTTTAAGGTCGCCTCTATGGAGGCACCATTGTAAACATTCCAGCCTACGGCCTTCCTTCCTGGTTGGGAACGGCAAAGTGATCGAGCAGCATCTGAACAGGATAATGAAAAGAGCTAGTAAGATTATTGGTGGCCCTCCTCACCTTTCTGCTAGATATTTACCATCAATGCTGCGTTCACAGAGCCTCCAGCATTATCAAGGATCTCCACCACCCTTCCAACAGTCTGTTCTCCCTTCTGCCGTCTGGGCAGAGGAACAGAAGCATCTGTGCTAAATCCAAAAATGTTGCATAGTTTACCCAAAAGCAGTCAGGCTCAACACCAGTTAAGAACATCAAACTGAAACATTCACTTTATCTCTTAATGCACTTAAATGCCCTGAGCTGCTGTTTGTTCTATATTTATGTTTTTATTTGTATTGTAAGGACATCTTTATATATTTTTTTTACCCTTTTCTGTCACACTGCTGTGGGCTGGGAGGAAAAGCATTTTTTTTGCGTGCAAGTACACAAGAAAATGACAAACTAAATCTTGAACAGGTTTTATTGATGACGAACCCAAACATCTATACTGTAGGAATACCTTCAGTGGGCTATATTCTCTTATTTACATAACGCTTCCACAAAGTCATACAAATACTTGGTAGGTTTCATGTCAAAGTATATATATAATACATTAAGAACTGGGAACAAGGGCTTTTAATGTTTTATAAAGCAACGGTCACAACAAATCTACAAATGAAAATAGATGATAGAAAAGAAATGACCAAGCAGCTACTGCAAAAACAAGTCCTACTTCAAACTCTGTACAAGCAAGTTCTTGAGTGTCCATGAAATAAGGAGGAAATGCAGCTCTTCTATGTTTCTGTCTTCGAGAGTTCTGATAAAGGCAGACGTCTGATGTAGTTGATAGTAATTCTTTCAAAGGCAAGGATGAGATAAACCAAGCAGTTTATACAGCGAATCTTGTCCTTTTTGTTTGCTGCCTCAAACAACGGAGAAATGTAGGACATGAGGAAGACAGTTTTTTTTTCCACTTCTTTTTTTCATTTCTTTTGAGGTTGGTTATCACTTGATGTGAACCAATTTCTCATCTGTTTTTAAGCGTTTGCGTCTAGGCTGTATGAAGTCCTCCTCGGATTCGTCTGTGTCATCCTCCACCTTTTCCTTCGTGTCCGGGGATTCCTCGGATTCCGGTCTTTCAGGGAAGATCTGTCCCGGGAATATCTCCTGCAGCTTCTCCTCGTAGTACAGGCTCACTGCCTTGCCGGATATCGCCATCTCGGATCCCGCCTGCCGGAGGAGGAGGAGGAGGAGGA